AATCCATTTGAATACAGTCTTCAGGGACTTTAAGGCTTTATGATGAACTGAAGCCAAAGGCAGCTTTCTTAGAAATACATAAGCAAATGCTTTATCATCTTCAATGCAGAAACTGAGAGATAAGACCTTTGATGTAACAACATCTGTAAATAGAAATATATAGTAAACTTAATATCATAACTTGAATGGACAAATGGTAGGTAGTATGGATTGAGATCCTTTCATTTAGCTGCTAATAAAATGATCTAAAAATTTAAAAATAATTATTTCCAGTTGGAAGCTCCTTCAGTTTTTCAATAAAAGCATTTACATTTTGTCAGCAGGCTGGAAAAAGGGTGTAAGATGCTTTATTATATATATATATATATATATATATATATATATATATATATATATTCTCTTTAGAGAAGCTCTTTGATTTCCACTGATGGTGATAAAATCAACTCATCCTGAATTATTGTTACATTTTGCGACAGCGCTGCAGTCAGAAAATGTAAAAAATAGCTTTGGAGGTGGAAACCTTGCCTTGGAATGTATAAGATGCAGTGTTATCAAACAAACCAATGGTGCAATGTTGCAAAATTTGTGGCAATCCTGACATTTCATTTCGATCTAAAATGATTTGACAGAATTCACAATTCAAAAATGTGTATGTTCAAAATAAAAACATTAATCGGGAGTAAAGAATAAACTAATGCATATTTTGAATATGCATCTTAATTGGCTATTCAAGCAGCTTCTATCTCTTTCTAACATATGAGCCTATACACACTTCTTTCTCTCATATACATTGAACTCAAGCCAGCAGACGTAAGTTTCCCTCATTAAGCCATTTCATTTGATATCCCTAGTGTAGGGGCGAGTTTGGAATTATAATCTTGATTTTGTGGTGGCCGACATATTGGATTTAAAATGAAGCCAGAATGTGTGCACACGTGTTCTCTTGCCAGAGTCCGTGTGGCATTCCCCCCCATGTAACCCCCTATAGCCCCACGGTACCCAAAGGGTGCGTAGGCCTTAGGCCTTCGTGGTAGTTGGAGTAAAAAAAAAAAAGGTTCCATTTAAAGTTGCGAAAGCAGCAAAAAGGGTCTACAGTCTAGCTGCCAGGCTTCACCTCCCCACCACTGCTACTATCAATCCAAGTCAATCATAGCCATCTTCTTAATCCATGCAAGGGTGCTCAGACATACAGTAGCGTGAAACAAGTGCCAAGCCAGCAGCTGAAGAGGCCCCAGTGCAGTGCTAAATCTGGAGCCCTATTGTGCTGCTGGCTACAATCAAAAAGCAAGGATGGGATTAGGGCCACATTATGGTAAAGTCATTGTATACAGCAGAAACAATACATCTCATGCATGGATGTTATAGTAAGTCAATATATGTTGAGCAGCACAAACCTTTCAACACCTCCATTTCAATTAAGCTTTTCATGACAACAAGAGTATTTTCATCATATTCAAGAACTATAGTATCTTGATCATTGGCTTCATTCTCTTCACATCTTGTTTTAAACAAGATTCTGCAAACTTGAAACGTCGTAGGTACTGTGTTATTACTGGTACCTACCATAACCTTTCCTAGCAAAAGATGTTTGCACTCTTCTGTAGGTCCGACTACCTTAAGCTTATGAGGAGGAGCATGTTTTCTAAGCGTTCTATGCTTTTTTACAATTGGTATGTAATTATGCGCACTCCAAATGTCCCCCTCTGATCGGCGTGGGGCATTTTTGCGTCTCCCCATTTTGTTGAACTGCTTCGAACTACTTTTTAAAATGTGTATCAAACGTAAAAATCAGTATAATCACAAGTTACATTGTTGTGTTATGTGCATCGGCGATGAACCAGACCATGAACAAACAACAAAATATAACCTAACCCTAACCCACCAATTATACAGATGCGACACCTGGTGTCGGTCCCTATGGTTTTCCTGTCCCCCCCAACCACATTCCAGTCTTTTCTCTATGTGCGCCCGTATGATTTTTTCCGAGGGGTTGTTACGCTTTATTTACATGACGTGCGAATGTCATAACTTTAAACTACAGAATCAAGCAATTACCGGTCCAGCAGACAATTTCCCGAAGTTACCCGAACGAACAGTGGCATCAGTCAAAAGGAATAATATGCATTATACACTAGTTAGGTATGTACACAATTACGGCCAGAATAAAGTAGGTGAAAGAACTTTTAGGGGTAGCAGCCAAAAACAAGATAAATAAAAAATCGATTTCAACACTTAGGGAATGGGTGTCCTCAATGAAATGTCTCTCGAAAAATTACTCATATATTGAGACAATTTATGGGCTGGATCAAATTTACTGAGCGAACTTCTAAAGGGGTAGCAGCCAAAAACCAGATAATAAAAAAATCGATTTCAATCCTTAGGGAATAGGTGTCCTCAATGAAATGTATTCAGAAAAATTACTCACATATTGAGACAATTTATGGGCCAGATCAAATTTACTGAGTGAACTTCTAAAGGGGTAGCAGCCAAAAACTAGATAATAAAAAAACCGATTTCAACCCTTAGGGAATGGGTGTCATCGCTGAATAGTATCTCGAAAGATTTTTCATATATTAAGACAATTTTTGGGCCAGATCAAATTTACTGAGCGAACTTCTAAAGGGGTAGCAGCCAAAAACCAGATAACAAAAAATCGATTTCAACCCTTAGGTAATGGGTGTCCTCGATGAAATGTATCCCGAAAATTTACTCACATATTAACACAATCCATGGGCCAGATCAAATTTACTGAGCGAACTTCTAAAGGGGTAGCAACCAAAAACTAGGTAATAAAAAAATTGATTTAAAATCTTAGGGAATGGGTGTCCTCGATCTCGAAAAATTATTCATACCTATATTAAGACAATTTATGGGCCAGATCAAATTTACTGAGCGAACTTCTAAAGGGGTAGCAGCCAAAAACCAGATAATAAAAAATCGATTTCAACCCTTAGGGAATGGGTGTCATCGATGAAAAGTACCTCGAAAAATTATTCGTATATTAAGACAATTTAAGGGCCAGATCAAATTTACTGAGCGAACTGCTAAAGGGGTAGCAGGCAAAAACCAGATAATAAAAAAATCGATTTCAACCCTTAGGGAATGGGTGTCCTCGATAAAAGGTACCTCAAAAATTATTCATATTTTAAGACCATTTATGGGCCTGATCAAATTTACTGAGCGAACTTCTAAAGGGGTAGCAGCCAAAAACCAGAAAATGAAAAAATCGATTTAAAATCTTAGGGAATGGGTGTCCTCGATCTCGAAAAATTATTCATATATTAAGACAATTTATGGGCCAGATCAAATTTACTTAGCGAACTTCTAAAGGGGTGGCAGCCAAAAACCAGATAATAAAAAAATCGATTTCAACCCTTAGGGAATGGGTGTCATCGATGAAAAGTACCTCGAAAAATTATTCATATATTAAGACAATTTATGGGCCAGATCAAATTTACTGAGCGAACTGCTAAAGGGGGTAGCAGCCAAAAACCAGATAATAAAAAATCGATTTCAACCCTTAGGGAATGGGTGTCCTCGATGAAATATATCCCGAAAAATTACTCACATATTGAGACAATTTACGGGCCAGATCAAATTTACTGAGCGGACTTCTAAAGGGGTAGCAGTCAAAAACCAGATAATAAAAAAATCAATTTCAAAAACCAGATAATAAAAAAATCAATTTCAACCCTTAGGGAATGGGTGTCCTCGATGAAATGCCGAACAATTACTCACATATTAATACAATTTATGTGCCGGATCAAATTTACTGAGCGAACTTTTAAAGGAGTAGCAGCCAAGAACCAGATAATAAAAAAATCGTTTTTAACCCTAAGGGAATGGGTGTCATCGATAAAATGTATGCCGAAAAATTACTCACATATTAAGACAATTTATGGGCCAGATCAAGTTTACTGAGCGAACTTCTAAAGGGGTAGCAGCCGAAAACCAAATAATAGAAAAATCTATTTCAACACTTAGGGAATGGGTGCCCTCGATGAAATGATCCAGAAAAATTACAAACATATTAAGACAATTTATGGGCCAGATCAAATTTACTGAGCGAACTTCTAAAGGGGTAGCAGCCAAAAACCAGATAATAAGAAAATCGATTTCAACCCTTTTAGGGAATGGGTGGCCTCGATGAAATATATGGGTCATTATTTGAAAAACGGGATGTTTGTGTCCTCAGTGATTTTTTCCTTTGCTTTGGTAAAACTAAGAACAAAATACCAAAAATATTCAGTACTCTACTAGTTCTTACTGAAGTATACCAAAAATACTAATTTTTCATTTATTTCCTAATTTTATTTGCCTTGCAAAATATAATTTCTCACGTTCGTAACGTATCCCCAAACAAAAGTTATGAGATATAGACTAATTATTCTTAAACTTAGTAATGTCCAATTGAGATATGCTCACTAGCAATACTTAAAGCCACTCAAAATCTTGCAAAAAATGCATTTTCATTTTATATTCAAATTGCATTTCGTACAATTACGTGAAATATAAAATGTCCTCGGATTTTCATCTTGGTTTGGAATGCCGTTCTGAACAGATATCTTAATATTTGTATTATCGAAAGTAAAGTAATTAAAATGAGAGTAAGAGAAGTTAAAAACCATAAATATTCTCACAACCGTAACCTCACTTCCGTAACATAATTATTGTTACGGAGGTGAGACTCATGTTACGGAGATAAGATTTTCATTTGTTCCAACACTTTTAGAAGAAGCATGGCCAAGCAGAAAAAAAAGCACTAATGACAAGAGAGAGCAAGAAAAGAGGGAAAAGGTGGAACAACGAGTAAGAAAGTATAGGGAAGCACTAAAAAGTAATCTAGAAAGATATGAAGAGGCTAAAAGGCTAGAGAGAGAAAGATACCAAAGAAGGAAGGAACAGGGCAAAATAAAATCCATCAATGATCTGACCCCTCGGCAGCAGAGAAAATTACGAAAAGACTGGAGAGCTAGAAGTAAAAAAGTTACGACAAGTTACGACAGGAACCCGTGCAGGGAAATGTGGAGGGTTTGGGAACAATGCGGCCGCACTCGATGCGTGAGAATTCTGTGCAAACCCCTACGCACCAAAATATTCCGGAGACGCCAACATCAGCAATATTGACAGCAGGTTAAAGAAGATTAAGAAGAAATAGAAGAAAGTTGAGATTCGAGATTCAAAAACTAAAGAAAGAACTTAAAAGAGAAAAAGCTAAGAAAGAAAAATACAAGTAGAGGCTTTATAGAAATCGTAACCCAGACAAAGATTCCCCAAACTCTAACGTTCAGAGAATGATTGATGACAAAAGAATTTCAAATGAGATTAAACAACCCTTACTTTTTGGGGCAGTTTTGTCTACCCAAATAAAAGAAAATGAATTTTCAAAAAATAATAGAGAAGAAAGAAGGAATCTGATGGCGGCTGTTTCAGGAAGAGTAATAAAAAATACCGTTTTCAAGAAAGACTTAAGATGTTAGTACCTAAGCGTTTCAAATATAATAAGAAAAACAGCAGAATTTTCGATCGTATATGGACAGAGGTTCGAAGAAAAATCATACATTTTTATGAAAATGATGACTCAAGCCGAATATGCCCAGGAAAAAAGTAAACGATAACATTTAAAAAAGTAAAACAACAGAAGAGGTATTTGAACTACTCTCTGAAAGATCTATATGCCAAATTTAGCTGTACTTATCCAGACAAAAAGGTAAGCTACAGCTTCTTCTGTAAGATGCGACCTTTTTGGGTGGTTCCATTGAAGGTTAAAGATCGTGACACATGTTTTTGTGAAACTCACGTCAATTTCCAGTATGTGGTTTCGAAATTATAATTTTACAACATTATTAAATAAAATAGCTGCAACGAAATTATCAAAAAGATAACGTGCTCCGCTGAAGACAAAATCAAGGAAGCATGCTTAAAAAGAAAATGTCCTGAATGTTTACGGCAAAACGTTGAATTTTTAGAATATAATCCTACTGAGCATGTAAAATATGAGTAGTGGGTACCAAAAAAGGAGAAACTGTTGGTGAAAGGCCAGGAAAAAGTTTGCGTTAAAAAAATTAAGGAAAATATTTACAGCAGCAAAGCAGAATTGGTATTAGAATTTCAGAAAAAGCCTACCAACTTTGCTTACTCACCATTTTAACATGCTCCATCAATACGAAAAGATTCGACAAATTAAAAAAGCTCTCTCAGAGATGGCATAAGTGGGTGTGTAAAGAGAACTGCTGATAGTATTGTGGCCAGAGCAGAAGATATTCCTAATTATGAGACCCTACTAGATAAGCTACAAACGTTGGAGGGTGTTATCATTTTCACGAGGCTCTTTGGACCAAGGCAAACCCTTCCATTATTCGCTTTAGACAATTAACTTGTAATGATTGTTCTGCAGAGGAGGTATGCGTCCATTATAATTTGGGGTCTGTACAATATAAACCAGAGCAAGACGTTGAAGACTCGAATAGCTCTTGTGACGGAATTTTGGCGGACACATTAAATGACATTTCCAACCACACAAGTATCCTTTTTACAACTTTCTGTAATCTAAAAAATTGGTTATATTCATTTTTGGGTTTTTTGAGAATATTAGTGGTTTTTTACTTTTGTGATCCTTGACTTAATAACCAGATATGAAAACCAGTATCTGTTATGAAGATGTTTATAGCTCGAGTGAAGAATCGTTCAGATTATAGGATAAGACCGCGGTGATTCTAGCAACAACGGCCAGCCAGCAACAAACGATAGTCCCTCTTCTCACCAGCGGCCGCGTCGCGCTGGACACCATCGCGCGTCGCTACAGCAGCGAAGCCGGCGCAACGTAAGCAGGCGGTGCGGCACCGTCTTCTCATGTAAAACGGTGTTATAGTATCTACACAAAATTATATACATTGTGTGTTGTCAGTGTTATCACACTATCTATCACATTCCGTGGCCGGGGCATATTAAGCCTACCAGAGGGAGCGAAGGTTAACTATACGAAACGCACATGGAAATTTGAAAATTAAAATTCTCAATTTTTCTTCAAATCAACACCACTTTTTTTTTCACGAAAATCAATTCTACAATGCATCCTTCATATCCGGGATCGATTACATCTCGTGGCCGGGGCATATTAAGCCTACCGGAGGGAGCGAAAGTTACCTATACGAAACGCACATGGAAATTTGAAAATTACAATACTCAATTTTTCTTCAAATCAACACCACTTTTTTTTCACGAAAATCAATTTTACAATGTATCCTTCATATCCGGGATCGATTACATCTCGTGGCCGGGGCATATTAAGCCTACCAGAGGGAGCGAAAGTTACCTATACGAAACTCACATGGAAATTTGAAAATTAAAATTCTCAATTTTTCTTCAAATCAACACTACTTTCTTGTCACGAAAATCAATTCTACAATGCATCCTTCATATCCGGGATCGATTACATCTCATGGCCGGGCATATTAAGCCTACCAGAGGGAGCGAAAGTTACCTATACAAAACTCACATGGAAATTTGAAAATTAAAATTCTCAATTTTTCTTCAAATCAACACTACTTTTTTTCACGAAAATCAATTCTACAATGCATCAACACAATCTATTTAGCTAATAGGTTAGCGCTATTCGTTGGCATTTATGTACACTGTCAAACATTTCAATATCAAGCTAAAAAGTGTTGATTTGGTCAAAAGCAAAACAGTGAAAAAACATAGCCCGGCCCTGCATTTTTTAACCGTCCGTCCACCTGTACGTAACTTCTATTTTAACGAACTCGGTTTAATAGTGCCTGGGATATGCGATCTTAAAGGTTTGGCGTGTTTAAATAAATCACCCTGTATATCCCACAAACTTCATGAAAAACTTTTTCATTTTAAGATAAGGGTTTCGGTCCATACTACCTACCGTTTCACTATGTCTCCCAGTATTAGAACAGATCGAGGGGCTCCCTTTCCCACTTGTCTATACTTGTTATTGAGAGATATTTGAATAATATTATAGCGGGGAGACAGTTATTACAGAGAATCTTTGGAAAATATAAAGCACTGGCAACGGCGCGCCTCTTCCTTTGAGCTGTACGGCATTCCCCGCCAGCCACGCGTAGCATTCTTCGGCTAAAATGAATCATCTTCAGTGTTGCCGGTTAGCCAGTAACTACTGACATTTGCCTGGAATGTGGGAACGTGCAAGTATTATTACAAGGAAAGCGTACTTGCAAGGAATTTTCCAGTAGTGCCGATACCCTTGTGCAATTTTCTGGTTTTTCTACATAGTATCATGCGGTGCGGTCGTCTCGTCACGTGATTTTCGAATTCAATACTGTTAAACTGATTTACGTTGCTTAAGCTGCTAAACATAACATATTTGAATAAATGCAAATTTTTTGATTAAAAAAACAAAAAAGGTACAAAACATGAATTTTGATAATTAATTAGCACTTTTCATTGCCTTATTTTGTACATATTCAATCATTTCAATATTCAGCTTAAGAGGTGTTGATTTCGATACAAAACAAAAAAGTGAGAAAAACCGAGTTCGGTCCGTCTACTTTTACATTACTTTTAGGTAAGCATGCAATCCTGCAAAATTTCAACGGAACTACGCCTAAGATATGCGATATTCAATATAATAATATTGGTGTGCTAAGCTATCGGTAAAGACTGAGTTAAGAATTTGACTCGGTAGAAGAAGCCAGTCAAGGTTTTGTTTGTCTACTGTCTGAATAGAGATTCACATGTTCTGATGTGTGCTATAAATTATACTGGCAAAAAGTGGGACGCTCTACATAAAGACAGGTCATTACTCATTGCCGACGGTCTGTTTAATAACTGGTCAGATCCCAAACAGAGATTGACAGATGAATTTTTCTGTCGTTGGTGAAATATTTGGTATTCAATAGACAAGCCAAAAACGAAGGTTGGACGAACAATAAATTATAATTCATCAGTTCATTGTTATAATAAGGTACAAAAATCTGCAATCGAAGTTGCACATACCTCCTTAATCTTCTGGCCTCCCAAAATACTGAACTGCAATGTCGCATTAGCGCCTAAGGTGGTTAAGCAAGTAGTGGCGAAATGATATGGACTATAGAGGAGTAGCGTCACTTCGTCGTTGAAACAGTTCTTGGCGTTAAACTGTGATGTCTGTGATATAGCAGCTAGTCAGGAGGAAGGTAAATATCCAGGAATGAAGGTCACCTGAAGGTAGTTGACCGCAAAACACCGGATTGTTTTAGGTGTTGCGAAACTAGCAGGAAGTGGGGTGCTAATATTTCGATTCTCCACTAATGATGTAAAGGCGACTATTGTTATTCTAACATATTTGGAATTTGAGACATCGTCGCTTAAGTTGTAACACCACTAAACGCAAAGAATAACTTATGTATTTGCTTAAAAAAAGCCACCGTGAATGCCGGAATGTCATCAGTAGGCACTATTAGCTTATGAGGTTTCATTAGCGACTAGACAAACATTAGGAGGATTATAAGATCATTCGATAGTGACTCCAAAGGCCCACCGTTCTTTTATGCTGTCCTAAAAAGTTGTTTGTTTGAAGTTACATCGTGCTGGAACTCTTTATTGAACAACTAAATTTTTGTGATTCATGACTGGGTAGTACCAAAAAGAAGAAAATACGATACAAATTTGTTATTTAGTTTTGCATTCTACCTCAATGATTATTGCCAAACATTTCCAAAGTAGATCCTTCAAGTATATTGCGAGATAATAGATGTGATGTTCCATTTCTTTATTTAATTGTATACTCTTCAGTCTACATTATTCATGTTCCCTGAAAAATAAATACGAACATACATAAAACAAAGTGATTGTTTTCATCTACACTGAAAAAGCTTTTAGAATGTAAGCACACATTTTGGAAAATCTGCTTTCTTTTCTGGTTACTAAGTTTAGCGCTCTTACACTCATTTTCAAACTTGTGGCCGAACAATAATCCAACAATAATCCATTCCAACCTCTGTTAGAATCAGTATAGTAGTTACTGATATTGCACAATGTCAAGGAAACCAGAACGACAGGTGGGTTATCGCCAATGGGTGGAACGCTAAATCACTCTATTTTTCAAGCCTATTTTCCAGAAAATGCTATTTATCATATATCGTCTAGACAGAAAAAATAATAATATGTATTACCCTCTATAAACTCAATTATATATATACTCTATGACATGCCAAACTAGGCATTAGGTACTCTGTTGAAATCAATAAAATTAAAAGTAGGGAACCCATTCAGGTGAACCATCCCCCTGTAACCTTTCTTCCATTTATTGAATATCTTGGTCGCCTCCAGGCAGTAAATCATAAACAAAAAAAACCTACTATATACCGGCATGTGTGTGGGTGTATCTATCCAGTTGAAGGGTGGATGTAAAGCTGGACATACACGCTAAAAATATGGATATCCAGATTCATGATTCCGCCACAATATGATCTGTATGAATATTTTGGTGAACAAATCATAATCAACTGTCTCCACCCACACTCCGCCGATACACGACGCGAATTAGTACCTAAAATCTCCCAGCGTTTGAGAAGCTTCATTCCATCCAGGGCCTTTGATTTCTTACCTTTCGTCTTTCACTCATACTCAACTGGTCTATCAAATGCTCAAGTTGATGATTCCATTATTACCAACGGCAGATAATGATATATCAATTTTCCTATTTTTAAATCTTCAGAACACAACACTTAAAAATACGAATTATACACACTCCTTAAAGTGTTTTGAAGGGTGCTCCATGTAAAATTTCTCTAAGAATTCTAGTTGCTACGCTCAAAACTCTTAATTGTTACTGTAACCTGTTTATCGCATGTCCTTTCGGTAAACATTACCGTGTATGTTTAGCTTTTGCTTAGAGTGATCCATCAGACCGCAGTAAAGGACATGAAAGAAATAAACCGGCAATAAATTATACTCGATAAAAGAGGGACGCACTACC